ATGCAAATGAAATTGAATTTGTTCCCCATCCCCAGGAATGGGGTTAAATCCATCCAGTTCAGATTTTAATACAAGCCCACTTAACTGACACTAGCTCAACCAGTAGGCAAACTGAAACACAAGTATTTTTTTAAAAAATATATGTACTCCTTTGAATTTTGTGACATAGTTTTCCAACAACAACAAAAGTGTCCACTTAAAAGATATATTAGAGGAATATGTAAACACACAAAAACCCAGTGAATATTAGTGAAAATAATGTTAAGAATGCATTTTATTAGGGAAATCTGCTAGCCAAAAATGTGTACACAAAATTGAGTACAATTTTTTTATGCAGACTCTTTTTTTATTTTTAGAAAAAGCAAGTTTGCAAACGGATGCATTACAAAAGAAGAAGAAAAATGTTATAGTAGTTAACTATACCTTAGCCTACTACAGTACAGTTGTACCTTAGAAGTCGAATGGAATCTGTTCCAGAAGTCCATTCGACTTCCAAAACATTCGGAAACCAAAGTGCGGCTTCCGATTGGCTGCAGGAAGCTGCGGAAGCGGCGTCGAACGTTCGTGTTCCAAAGAACGTTCGCAAACCGAAACACTCACTTCTGGGTTTGTGATGCTCGGGAGCCAAAATGTTCGAGTCATAAGACACCCGACTTCCAAGGTACAACTGTATTTATAAAAATGAATTCCAAATATTGTTAAATTTGTCCATGGCAAGCCTACATTTGTAACCAACGTGTTCTTGTGTCGCAAGTTTGTACATATTTTCAATCTTTCTTTTTTGTGTGATATGTACAATTTCTTTTCTTTTCTTTTGCTCTGTTTTGTTTTCTACATGGGTACTATTTCCTTCTTATTTTGTGTCTTATCTTTCTCTGTGCACATGTGATTATGTCTTTTTAATTTTCAATATAGAATATATGTTTGTTTGTGTGTGTGTATCTGTTTGCAAACTGATACGGAAATGGGACAAGCTGAACTTAAGCCTAGAAAAAACAACCTAGAGAAACTGGGAAGCACAGATTCATGTATCTCTAGCCCCACAGCGCAAAGCCCACAACAGCTACCCGGCAGTAGAAGGAAATGTCAAATAAATCCCTCAGACCTACGCAGACACCTAATCTGCATTAGCAATTTGAATCATGCCAATAAATCCAACCCCGGCCTGAACTTGTTAGCTGTCTACCGAAAAGCCGGTCTCTGCGGAGGAAGTTGGATAGATTTTTGCTCCCACTGGTGGCAGTTCTGCGTTAGAAAAACAACAGAGGAAGGGGCTGGGGAGGTGGAGGGAGAGAGCGAGGGATGCCTCATATGCCTGCATTCTGTATCGCTCCCTCTCTGCACTTGGTACCCACTGCTTCAGTTTCGTATATAGGTAAGAAAGGTGAAAAGGTAAAGGACCCCTAGGCAGTTAAGTCCAGCCAAAGGTGACTATGGGGTTGCGGCGCTCATCTCGCTTTCAGGCTGAGGGAGCCGGTGTTTGTCCACAGACAGCTTTCCATGTCATGTGGCCAGCATGGCTAAACCGCTTCTGGCGCAATGGGACACTGTGACAGAAACCAGAGCACACGGAAACGCCGTTTACCTTTCCACCAGAGTGGTACCTATTTATCTACTTGCGCTGGCGTGCTTTCAAACTGCTAGGTTGGCAGGAGCTGGGACAGAGCAATGGGAGCTCACTCCGTCGTGGGGATTCAAACCGCCAACCTTCCGATCGGCAAGCGCAAGAGGCTCAGTGGTTTAGACCACAGCTATTTAGTATCTATTTAAAGCACATTTTGAAGCACCCCTTCCCACCCACCCAAAGGGCATGGCAGTTCATCCCTCACAGAGCTAGGATTCCTGGCACCCCTGAAGCTACAGTTCCCAGGATTATCTGGCTGGGTGTGCGCTTTAAATGTGCTCCATGGTGTACATGCAGCCCTTGTTGACATGGAGGAGGAGGGAGAAGAAGGAAGCATCAGAAGCAATCCGTATTTGAGGGTTGGATGAGACCAGCTGCGAGCGTGGGATTTATTATAGCCCGATTAGAATACAGCATGACTGCTGGGTCCTTCGCCAGGGGGCTGTGCATTAGCGAGGGAGACTCAGTTTTCAAGCGGCTGCTAATTGAGCAATCTGCCACACTAATGGGAGAACTAATGAGGGGGACCGTTCTGGGGAGGGGGTCTCCTTCCTGTGTAGGCCAAGGGGAGGCCACAGCAACACTTTGTACGGGCCTTTCAGGAGTCAGAAGAAGCTCCATTAATTTTCATCCCGTAACCTTTATACACCACAGCCCTGGGGATGTGGGCCGCCTTTAGAGAGCGTGTGGGATCAATTTGTGAGCTGGGGGGAGAAGGAGAGGGGCTGGAGACGGGGTTTCCGCTGGTCAGGAGGAGCAACAGCCAATTCTCACAACTGTTTTGTGTTAAGGGACCGCCAGTCCCAAGTTTACGGCTTTGGAGGACTTGGGCGAATCGCACCAACCAAAGGAACGAGGATCTGGGATGTGAGCAGATCATGACTCACAATGGGTGGTGTAATTCCCTGTAGGCGACTGCGCAATTCAGCTGAGCAAAAGTGGGTATGAACTGACCAAGACTGAGGGTGAATTTGTGAATATAGGGGAGAGAGAGAGAACAGACTGGTAGGGCTTAATCTGATCTGGAAGATTTTCAACCTAGTCCCAGGTAAGTGTGTGTGCAGAGGTGCCTACTTGAATAAAATATTATTGCCCCGCGTTACAAGACGTGGTCCATGCACGCAATTTAAATGGCAATGCCCATCAACTTTGGGGTATGTGTGACTCCCTCAAATATTTTATTGGGGGTGCTGACGGGACTGAGGCCCCTAGGAGTCGGCTCTCCCTCTCTCTCCCCCCCTCTCTCTCTCTGTGTGTGTCTCTCTCTCTGTGTTTGTGTGTTAGGGAGATGGCTGTGGTTACTTGGTGGTGTGGGACAGGCACGCCATGGGATCTGAGGGACTTTCTCCCCAGTGATTACATCGCTTAATACGTTCCAGGGGAGTGAGGCCTGGCACAAATTAAACCTTTGGAGAAAGAAGGCTCTCATAGGGAAGAGAGAGGTTGCACTTCTGGGTTTAAATTTCTGTGCTCTAGTAGAGACACAGACAGACAGGCAGACAGAGACGGGCTTGGTTCGGGAAAGCTGACCCATTAGGCAAAGTAAGGTGGCAGATTTAGAGAACCACCAGTGGCGTTATGTAACAAAGCCATTGCAGTGGGTGGAGTGATCCTGTTTAGGATCACTCAGCATTCCATTGCCCCTAAGCATGCTCAATTCCCACTGGGCAATTGTGCTGGTCCCGGGGGTAGGTACCTTGGGTGTAGCAGAGTCCACACGAAGAGGGGCAAGGTCCGAGGCAGAGAGCCGGGCGGGGAACAGGAGTGCTGGAACAGGAGGCTGTGCAGGGAACAGGAACACCGGATGGTCGGGAACAGGAGGCCGAGCAGGGAACAGGAGCAGCGGATAGTCAGGAACAGGAAGCCGAGCAGGGATCAGGAACACAGGAAGGTCCGAAGCCAACAACGACGTTGCTCCCGCAACCTGGGGCCGGGCTGACTGGGCTTTTATCCTCTTCTAAGGCCAGGGGCGGTCCCGGTCCCCAGGAGCCCCGCCTCCTCTGGCCTTAAGGCGAGCACTCCTCCTGGGGGCAACCAGTTCCCTTCGCCTCTCTGCCCTAAGCCTCTGCAGATCAGGAGAGGCCGAAGGGTTACTGGGCCCTGGAGGAGGCTCACCTGTGGCCACTGAGTCATCAAGCCCCTCTGGGGCCCGAAGGGCTTCACCTGGGGCCAGCTCCTGATGCACTGCCACAGGTGCAGGCTCTTCAGCATCAAGGCCTTGCCCCAGTTCAGCCGGCCCTGGAGGCGGGGACTCCTGTGCAGGCCGGGATTCCTCTGTTTCATCCTCCGAATCGGAATCCCAGGCCATCACAGCAATTTCCCCTTGGAGGCTTTTCCCTTAACAAAATTTTGTTACCTCTGCAAACCTGGGGTTCTCCTCAATCTGCTGACCTATCCCTCGGGTGTATAGGCTACATAAGCAACGGCACTCAGAACATGAAGATCAGTAATAGAACAAAGGGTTATGACGACAAGGTTTTGGTGTGGGAAAGAGATGGATCAGATCTACGGAGCACAATCCACTGGGGTGTTTCCTTGTACTAGCCTCGTCGAAATGAGCAGGCACAAAAAATGCTAATTAGCAGAAGGAGGCCTCGGGACCTCAAATGTTTTGGCTCTAGAATATCTGGATCCGCCTCCTCAGTCGGCTGCGAATTCATTTCCGCAGGCTTGCAACAGTCCACATTTCCCCATCTGTAAAATGGGCATAAACAATGGCTCGGCTCCGAGAGCAGTCGTGAAGAAGCGTATACGAAATAAAGATCAGAGGGCACACGGCTGGAAGCGGCGAAGAAAAGATTATACAGGGGGCAACGGTAAAGTCTCAAAATGGTTGCTTCGGAAGCTAGAGGGGGAGGAGAAATTCCTTCTCTGGATGAATGCTTCTGATCTAATTGGCCTCAAAACAGCTGGAATCTGGCCTGGGTTTGGCTTTCCTCCCTATGGGAGAGTAAATGGGATGTTCCGCTCTTCCTACATCAACCAAATTGTGACTGATCCTTTTCGGAGATCTCACTCATGGCTTCTCCTTGCAATTGGGGGCTCTGTTCTCTCTTCCTCCCTTGGGCTATGGAACAAGCCCTTACATAATTTAATTCAATTGGGCACTGTGGTCCCTGCCAACGAAACTGACAGATGGCGAGACCTTTGATCTCCCACTCCTCTAAGGCCGATCTTTGATTTTTTTTCCTTCTCCCCTTTTGGAGAAGTGTTTTTCCAGGGCTCTTCAAAAGGCTGAAGAGGACATACAGGTCTTAAGTGTTTCCCAAACTTCTGGTAGCCAAGGCACATTATTGTTACGGAATTAAAATTGGAGGCATGCTTTGCTCTTGCAGAAAGGTTTACATCTAAAGAATGTAAGGATTCTTAAGATGAAGGAGCCATAGCTGGGTGGTAGAACATCTGCCTTGGATTCAGAGGGTCCCAGGTTCAAACCCTAGCATCTCCAAGTCGGGCTAGGAAGGGCTCCCTTCCTGAAACCATGGATTGCTGCTGCCAATCTGTGTAGAGACCCCTGAGCTAGATGGACCAATGGTCTGACTTGGTCTAAGGCAGGCATGGTCAAACTTGGCCCTCCAGATATTTTGGGACTACAACTCCCATCATCCCTGACCACTGGTCCTGTTAGCTAGGGATGATGGGAGTTGTAGTCCCAAAACATCTGGAGGGCCAGGTTTGGCCATGCCTGGTAATAATAATAATAATAATAATAATAATAATAATAATAGTAATAATAATAATAATAATAATAATAATTTATTATTTATACCCCGCCCATCTGGCTGGGCTTTCCCAGCCACTCTGGGCGGCTTCCAAAAAAATATTAAAATACTGTAATACATCAAACATTAAAAGCTTCCCTAAACAGGGCTGCCTTCAGATGTCTTCTAAAAGTCTGGTAGTTGTTGTTCTCTTTGACACCTGGTGGGAGGGCGTTCCACAGGGAGAGCGCCACTACCGAGAAGCCCCTCTGCCTGGTTCCCTGTAACTTGGCTTCTCGCAGTGAGGGAACCGCCAGAAGGCCCTTGGTGCTGGACCTCAGTGTCCGGGTAGAGCGATGGGGGTGGAGACGCTCCTTCAGATATACTGGACCGAGGCCGTTTAGGGCTTTAAAGGTCAGCACCAACACTTTGAATTGTGCTCGGAAATGTACTGGGAGCCAATGTGGGTCTTTCAAGACCGGTGTTATACGGTTATAAGGCAACTTCCCATGTTTCTTATGACCCACTTTCAGAGTAGCCCACACATCCTCTGGTGTGAATCATTGTCTCGGGTGCACTTCCTGAGAGGGTGGTGATTCCACGGTCTCTTGTTATCACTTCCACGGGCCCTGCAGAATTACCTCATGATTCCCACCCCCCAGCATTTTAGTGTACATTTCGCCTAAGAAGCACACTTCACACTAAGCCACAATTTCTGCAAGCAGTTTCTCCCGGGGGAATGCACTTTGGTAAACAATGCTTGCTTGGAGGACTGCATTGTGAAATTCAGATCAGTGCACAACTTAATTCTTCACATTGTTTTGAAAAGTGCGGATTTGACTGAGTTGCCTTTAAAGGAGAGCTGAATCAGATCCCTCTCGCATCCCTAAAGCCAGCCTTGGCTTTCATGGAAAGGCTGTCCAAGTCCTCTGTTGGGGCATATTTCAGTACGGGATATCCAGGCTTAGGAGAGGGGGCTTGTATCCTTTGTCTCTGCCTTCCTTCAGATAATCTGTGTTATCTTCTGCGGCAGTCGGTGAGCTGAGCCGCAAAATGCCGCTGCTCTCTTGGAAGACCGGAGAATGGTTTGAACTGTGAACTGATGCTGGCCTTTCTTCACCTGCGGCAATTCGTGGAGGGCCTCATGGAAGCATTTACTGCCTGCGCAGCGTGGAGGAGGTTTTGCACGGGCTAGAATGTCTCCTTTTCCACGCTATAAACGTTGCCTCTTCCCCGCCGGGTGTTCCCCCCACATTTTTCCTATTTTCACGCTCATTTCTCTTTACGCGCCTCCAGTGACCCAGCGCGAGCAGTAAACTTTAATCTCCGCTGGCACGAGGCTGGGGGGGATCGGCTGCAGAGCGGGGGCAGATGTTCATTACTGCATGTTTTCCTGCTGCTTGTGATGGGTTGCAAGGCTGGAGATCACCCCCCCCTCATACTTCCCTTGCTTGGGCTGAGTGGGGAAGAAAAAAACTGCTGCCCATGTGTTTTTTAATTTTTTATTTATTTTTGATGTCGTTTGGGCTCTTAATGAAAATTGGATGCAGAAAGCTTTTTGAATCTGGAATACGAACCGTGGAGAGCTCTCCCTGCACTGCTGCTCCTGGTGAAGGAGCCAGAGGAGTGAAAGGCCCACTCTCCTGGACCCACATGAGATTAAAGAAGAAGAAGAGTTTGGATTTGATATCCCGCTTTATCACTACCCAAAGGAGTCTCAAAGCGGCTAACATTCTCCTTTCCCTTCCTCCCCCTCAGCAAACACTCTGTGAGGTGAGTGGGGCTGAGAGACTTCAGAGACGTGTGACTAGCCCAAGGTCACCCAGCAGCTGCATGTGGAGGAGCGGGGAAGCGAACCCGGTTCACCAGATTATGAGTCCACCGCTCTTAACCACTACACCATGCTGGCTCCAAAGAGCACTGAAGGAAGTCACCTGATGGACATGATGAAGGTCTTGGTCTGGTCAGTAGCAGAGGAAGAGCTGTAGCTCGGCAGTAGAGCATCTCCTTTGCATGCAGAAGGTCCCAGCTTCAAACCTTGGCATCTCCAGGTAGGGCTTGGGAGACTCCTTTATCTGAGATAGCGGAGAGCCGCTGTCAGTCATAGAATCGTGGAGTTGGAAGGGACCCCAAGTGTCATCAAGTCCAGCCCCCTGCAATGCAGGAATCTCAGCTAAGGCATCCATGAGAGATGGCCATCCAACCTCTGCTTAGAAAGCTCCAAGGAAGGAGAGCCCACAACCTTGCGGGAGAGACCGTTCCACTGTCGAACAACCCTTATGGTCAGAAAGTTCTTCCTGGTGTTTAGTGGGAAGATCCTTTCTTGTAACTTTATGACATTGGTTTGGGTCCCACCTTCCAGAGCAGCAGCAAACAAGCTTGCTCCACCTTTCATATGACAGCCCTTGAGATACTTGAAGATAACTCATATCTCCTCTCAGTCTGCTCTTTTCCAGGCTAAACATACCCAGCTCCTTGTAAGACTAGGTTTCCAGATCCTTGATCATCTTGATTGCCCTCCTCTGCACACGTTCCAACTTGTTAACATCCTTCTTAAATTATGGACACAGTACAGTGGTACCTCGGGTTACAGACGCTTCAGGTTACAGACTCTGCTAACCCATAAATAGTACCTTGGGTTAAGAACTTTGCTTCAGGAAGAGAACAGAAATCATGCAGCGGCAGCGGGAGGCCCCATTAGCTAAAGTGGTACCTCAGGTTAAGAACAGTTTCAGGTTAAGAACGGACCTCCAGAACAAATTAAGTTCTTAACCCGAGGTACCACTGTATTCTAGGTGTGGTCTGACCAAGGCAGAATAGAGTGGTACCTTTATTTCCCTTGATCTGGACACTAGACTTCCGTTGACAATACTGTGTCGACAATACAGAGCTAGATAGACCAATGGGCTAGCAGTTTATAGTCGCCATCCCCTAACAGGTGGAATGAGATGCAGCCTTGACATGAGAAAAGTTCAGGCAGCATGATTTGGGAGTCACTGTGTCATTTAGGGTAGAAGGATTGTGGACATACAGTCCTATCGACAGGTTTTTGCAAGCGTCCACCATCAGATGACCAGTGCTGGTGCTTCTGGGTCACCTGACACCATTGTAATGTCACATGATTAATAGGTGAGCTGTTCCACCCACCTGCCAAACCTGGGAAGTGGGGTAGGGAAGATAAGGATTCGCCATGCTGGCCGGACCCAATTTCTCACCCCTAATGCGAATCATGGAGCACAGGAAGTTGCCTTACACCAAATCAGGCCATTATCCCATCTTTCTTAGTACTGGCTACACTGTTTGGCAGCAGCTTTCTAGGCTTTCAGACAAGAAGACCATCCCAGTCCTACCTGGAGTTGCCAGGGATTGAACCTGGAGCCATCTGCCTTAAAGCACACAGTCTCCCATGTGACAGTGATGTTCTCCCACAAAGGCTCATTTAATGCCCTTGTATTGTAGGGTGATTGCACAGGTCTCCTTCATTTCAGAGAAACTTCTGCAGGACAGACAATGAGTGGCTTGTGTTCAGTAATGGATGGTGTAATGGGGCAGTGGTGCTCACCTGACCTCTGGTTAGCTGAGTCATTGCCGCTTATCAGGAGGTAGAAGGGGAGGGAATGAGGCAGGAGCGAGGCTGCTGCGGTGCAAACACGCCAGCTAAGTTAATCTGGCATTCCCGCCAGTGTGTTTGCACCACATCAACTTCACTGCCATTGTGCCTCTCCCTTGCTACAGGGGGACGCCTCAGGCATCGAAATGACTCGGGCCAGCCCTGGTCCAACATCCCTCGCAGAATCCTGAACTCTCTGGCTCCGCATGAACTCTCCATGACTGACTTTCACAGACGAAAACTTGCAAGTCGGAACCTTACACTTCATGCGCCAAGATGCTGATGTGAATCGCAGGGCAACGGGGTATGCTACGGGATGCCGGAAATCAGCGCTGTGAAGGAAGGAGAAAGTCAGTTTGGCTGGGAGTGGGGGGAAACCTGGCTGCATGGCCAAGGAACGGGCAGGAGTATGCTCTGCTAATGAGTTAGGGAGATGGGTGGGCTGGTTGAGAGACAGGGCAGCTAAGGAAAGAGATGGCTAAAAGCTCCACATAGGCTCTAGGGGCAGGAGAAGCTAGGTGTGTGAGGTTTGTTCTGGGAGGGGTGCAAAGAGGTGAGGAGGACTGGATTTCACATTGATTCAAACTAACCTGCCAGATCTTTGGCTGCGTGTTTCGAACATATTATGCACTAAACTCCTACTTTTCCTCAAATCGCTTTTCAGTATTGTTGTTCACCTTCCTGAGTCTAGCAGGATTTTTATTATTATTATTATTATTACTGCTACTACCTGAAGTCTAAAATGAACAAATATATCCAGATGGAGGGGCAAGCCAGCAGGCAGAGTTTGGTTTCTTCTACTGTGTAAACCGCATGGGTTTCGGCGTCGCGACCCCTTTCCCCACCTCCAGCCCGGCTGCTCTGACCTAGACAGAACCCCCGTGGCGTTGACCTTTTCACATCTAGAAAGGGATGTGGGTGGAGGGGAAGAAGGGGGGGGGAGACAAATGGAAGTGCCCCCCTGCTGGTCTCTCTTATATGGGGGACATTTCCTGCATGGATGGGCTTTTAAGCAGGAAAAGAGGGGCGAAGATTGTCTTGGTGCCTCTGAAGGCAGCTGGTCTGTGGTCTTAAAGAAAGAGAGAGAGGCGGGGAGGGGAGGTCGTATATATACGCCGAGGCGCTTTTGCAACAATAGATTAGTTGTCCTGCATCATGAAAGAGGCCGGAATGGAATGGCAAAGGGACGTTCAGATCCATCCTGCTGTCTCCAATGCAGGCTGTTAAACGGTTTGACACTAAGGCAGCTTACTGGGCTATATTTTATATCTAGCTCATAAACTCAAGAACGGCAAAGAGGGAGAAAGTCTGGTTGGGTTAGGGTGTTTTTTTTTGTTTTTGCAGAATCCTGAACCAGTCTGCATTGCAAAACGTTCATAATATGCTCTTCCTACCCCCTTCTCTCTCTCCCCCCCCCCCCCGCCTCATGCGGTCACCATATGAGTACGGAAGTTCTGCTTTCGGTATATTTGTTCCCCGGGGTTTTGGAATGGAGGTTTTATTGCTACTAATAAATATTATGATTACAACACAGCAAAACTCGCCCCCCCTCCTTTTGTCCTCCAACCCTCCCCCCCCCGCCCCGGTCAGCTAGCAGCCAATGCACACTTATTTATAGAACGGTGAAGCGGGAGTTTAGTAAAAGAAATAAATAAATGCAAAACGCATTCAATACAGCCCTCTCTTTCAAGAGAAACCGTGGGTCTCTGCATATGGGTGGAATTCTGTTACGTGTAGCCCGCTTGAGATCACGGATGGCAAAAGCCCTCTTTGCTTTCCCTAAACATGCAGACGAAACGCACTTCCACTTCTTCAATTAGTGGAATGAGAGGGCAGTTGCCTGATCAGATGAATGGCTCTTTTTTTTTTTTTTAATATAATATTTATTGGTTTTACAAAAATTCCAAAACATACACAAATACAAAAATTCCAAAGACAAAAAACAACAATAACAGTGACAAAAGGAAAACAAAAAGTAACAATAACCATAAAAAAGAAAGAAAAAAGAGGAAAAAAAAGAAACAGAAAAATTTAAAAAATTATACTTTCCTTTAACCTTCTTATCTTTCCTTAGTTCTTTGACTTCCCCGCACCTCCCCACTTGTATTTCCATTTAGAGACTCCTTTCAGCAAATCCTTACCCTCCTTCCTTTATCTTAACTCAAGAAACTTAATCTATTTATAAATAGATATTTTTGCAACCTTATCAATCAAATATTCCATACTCTTAAACGCAAGGCTTTTGCCAATACCAGTTATTTTCAATCAGACCTCAATTTAACATTCATTAATTTTATAGTATTTCTGTAGATAGTCTTTAAATTTCTTCCAATCTTCTTCCACCGACTCTTCTCCCTGGTCACGGATTCTGCCAGTCATTTCCGCCAATTCCATATAATCGATTACCTTCATCTGCCATTCTTCCAGAGTGGGTAAGTCTTGTGTCTTCCAATACTTTGCGATAAGTATCCTTGCTGCTGCTGTTGCATACATAAAGAAAGTTCTATCTTTCTTTGGCACCAATTGGCCAACAATGCCCAGGAGAAAGGCCTCTGGTTTCTTTAAGAAGGTATACTTAAATACCTTTTCAACTCATTATATATCCTTTCCCAGAAGGCCTTAATCTTTGGGCACGTCCACCAAAGGTGAAAGAATGTACCTTCAGTTTCATTACATTTCCAACATTTATTATCGGGCAAATGGTAGATTTTTGCAAGCTTGACTGGGGTCATGTACCACCTGTACACCATTTTCATTATATTCTCTTTTAAAGCATTACATGCTGTAAACTTCGTACCTGTGGTCCATAACCATTCCCAGTCAGCAAACATAATGTTGTGTCCAACATCCTGTGCCCATTTAATCATAGCAGATTTTACCGTTTCATCCTGAGTATTCCATTTTAGCAGCAAGTTATACATTCTTGAAAGTGTTTTAGTTTTGGGATCTAGCAGTTCTGTTTCCAACTTTGATTTTTCCACCTGGAAGCCAATTTTTCTATCCAAATTATAGACCTCTCTTATTTGGTAATAATGCAACCAGTCTCGCACTCTAGATGAATGGCTCTTTCCAGTCCAGTAGCCTCTCCGATGCCTCCGCGTTTCAGGCAGAGGGTCGCCCCACCCACAAAGTTGTGGTATCTTAAGTTCCTTTGAGATTACCTTTGACCTTTTAAGGCTGAACAACTGGGCTAATTTTAACTGGGAGTAGGGATACTTACCACAAATAGATCTGGTCATGAAGAAGCCCACTTCCTGCTTGAAATGGCACGCTGGGTGCTTGTTTACTCAGGAGAAGGCCTTCCAGCTGGCCATTTCACATATATCTTCTCACAAGTAATCTCTTCAGCCTGCTGTTTCAAGCAGGAACTATGGGAGTGGATGAAGGAAGGAAGAATCGCTAATCCAAGAGGCTTATTTGCATAATGCCAAACCATAGTT